TATTTTTGCAGGCACTGGTCTACCCATTTATTTTTGCAGGCACTGGTCTACCCATTTATTTTTGCAGGCACCGGTCTACTCATGTATTTTTGCAGGCACCAGTCTACTCATGTATTTTTGCAGGCCCTGGTCTACTCATTTGTTTTCTTTTAACACTGATCAGCTGTAGGGCGGCCCTTTGAAGCCCCGCGGCAAGAGTTTAAACAGTTTTTTTCTTTATAGCCCATCAGCTGGGACTCAGGAGGCAGCAATAGGTTGGGGGTGGGGCCAAATAAAAGGTAAGAATAATGTAGGGGGTGCGGGGAGCAGGGGGGGCAGAACCGGTTCAGTGACATCATATCGTCACTGCTACCGACTTGGCAGAACCGGGCTGAACCGGGAGGAATCCACCACTGCAGTGCAGATATTTCTGCACACAATGTCAACTATTTAGCTGTTCATGTTGTTTGTGCCTGCATCTTACACCCTGTCCCTATGTGTTGAGCTGTTTCTGAAGCCTCTTTGCATAATCCAGACCTTGGGCCTATCGGGTGTGGGCTTTCTTGAAGACTACTTGGAAACTTCAGCTATTCTGGAAGTAGTTAGGTCTAATGACAATCTTAATTTCCTAATGGAGAAGTGCCCCAGTGCACTGCCTGTTTATTGAGGTCAAGGTTGTTGTAATACCTAAAGCCAGGGGAGCATAACTCCCAAACAGACACCCCTTTTCCTTACTCTCTCAGGTTTTGATCGTACATGCCATCTTTACTTATGTTGTGACTCCGACCCCCGAGCCTGTCCTAACAGAGGGAGAGGACTCAGAAGGTGAAGGAGAGGATTTGACAAGGCCTCCCTCTCCAGGACCCTCCTCTCTGGTAATGCCTCAGGTTTCCTCCGAAGGCCAAGAAGAGATATGCCAGGAGCAAGGCACTTCGGAGCAGCCACAGATAGAGAGCGAGGGGGATGAGTTTTGGCTGGATCCCAGACAGCGTCGGAAGGATAAGCGCATGCAGCAGAGAAAGAGGGGTGGGCGGGCCAGAGATTGAGCTGAGTCACTGGACCACACCCCACAAGGGATAAAAGGGGTGTGTCAGCTATTCAGGCCTTGTGACGGACAAATTGAAAAGCTCGGAAGTCATATCGTGTTTCTAGAACCCTGTTATAATCTCTTTTTGGATTTCTTCGGACTGGACTTTGACAATTCTTTGCTTTGAGGAATTAATTTGGTATATCGGACTGAGAAGAAAAAACCTCCCTTAGTGAGTAAAATTTCTTGGCAGGCAGTTCATGGTTCGCTGCCAAGACTGCTATCTTAAAGGAATTCCTGACTGTTTGATTCATTAACTCCTGACTGTCTGTTTGTGTGTGTGCATGCGACGGGGACAGAACAACTTAATCTGAGTTTAAAATATGGATTAGAATTGCACATGCTACATTAGATTTGGCATTTAGGAACAGCAGCCAGAGATCAAGGTCTCCAGTAATCTACAAACTGAGGTAGAACATGGATTTTCAACCCCTTTCCTGTGATAACCTTCTTTTCCTCTTCTTTCTCTGTTGTGACCTAGGCTTACTAAATCATTACAATACACAATTAGTCCCAAACAAACCTATTTTATTGTAACAGCTGACAATTACGTTCATTTCCAGCTGAGTCCCAATTAGTTGCAAAACAAGTCCTTCGGAAGAAGTCCTTCGGGATAATCACCAACCTTTATCTTCTTTGACACCCTGCCAAAGGCCTTACTTGGCAAAACTCCACGAAGTTCAGAAATAAACAAGAGATGCCGACTGGAAACAGAGTTAACAACATTGCTTTCCTGCGAAAGGCCCAAGTGCCTTTCTCTTTTAAGCCTTATGGGAGGGGCCAATCATCTCCTGGCCTTACTACCAAGTCATCCCTTTTGCTTTAGCTGCTCTTGCCTTTTGGCAGCTCTGCACATGTGTGCACTAGGAACAGACTCCTCCTATTCCTCTGCCTCTCTGTTGTCTGACTCTGGGGGTTCCGGAGCCTGCACATCACTCCCAGATGGCCCTGGCCCCATCTCTGCCTCCGACACAGAACCCTCGTCTGGGCCTTCCCTAGATTCCAGGACTAGCCCATGTTTCTCCCCAGCCTCCTCACTGTCCAACTCTGCTGCCAGCTCCACAGGCTGCTGGCGGACACACACACGGACACACACACACACACTCCCTCCCTCCTTCCCTCCCTCCCTCCCTGTCTCTCTCTCTCTTTCTCCCCATCACAGCACAATTTCCTAGTTCCAGTGCTCATCAGTTCACCAGACTATTTCCTAACTTCTCATTTCCTCAACTGTCTCTTCAAGAGCTAGGTGACAGTCGTGCTAGTCTTGGGAATAACCACAATAAATCCCAATGCATTTGAAAAGAGCAAATTCTATCTGCCTTCCCCTGGCTTTACCCTCTACTCACTGAAAGAGATTGTCATTTCCAAAGAAGACATTTTGAGTAAACGGTAAAGTCACCTGGTCATGTACTTTCCTTTTGCCAGCAATCTTACAATTGGCTGCTGAGATACCTTTGTGGGCTCATTATAGAACATTCTTGGCATTTTTCATTGTAAGCTCGAATACTCACATGTCTTTGATACAGAATTTCATTTCTTGGCATCTGAGTTCTTGTCACGAAGTAGAATGAGATACTAATATGGAGTAAAAGAGTTTTCAGAAAATAAAAAGAAAATGTTTTTTTTTTAAGTCACCCAGTAATGTTTCATTGTCAGTGGTATATTGGCAGAAGAAGGAAATTGAACCCTGTTCTCTTTTGAAATGATTTATTAATATCTCCTTTGAACAGGTAGGAATTGATTACAAAAATTATTTGATCTCCTACTCTCGCATTCCTCTTCACCTTTGTGAAATCTAGTACCCTGCAAATAAATTAGCTCTTATAATTCTACAGCTGTTGTATCATGTTGTTTGGGGAATAATGGGAGTTGAACTCCCATCACATCAACCAGGATACAAGCCTGGAAAGTTAACAGACTTAACAGTAACAGAGTTGAAAGGGACCTTAGAGGTCATCTAGTCCAACCCCCTGCCCCCGCAGGAGACCTGTACTAGGGATTCGAACCGCCAAACTGGCGACCTTTCTGATCGACAAGCTCAGTGTCTTAGCCACTGAGCCACCTAGTAATATCAAGTTAATATCATTATTGGTTATTTTTATTCAGCTTTCTGTATTCTTCTTCTTTGAAAAATGACATTACTTCGTTTAACTTCAATAACTGTTTAACATTATCAAAGATATACACTATATATACACTTAAGTTATGCTCTATCTATCTATCTATCTATCTATCTATCTATCTATCTATCTATCTATCTAAAGTGTTTTTCTATCGAGGCACCTGGTCTGCCCCAGCATGTGGGAGGAGCATATTGTGAAATATAAATTTTATATATATACAGTATAGTGCTTGATCTGCTTCTAATATCTTGTTTTTGATTCTGATCTTGTTATTTTAAAGTTGTGAGCTTTGATATGGTTGTTTTAATATTGAATTGCTGACGACCAAGGATGTATATTTTTAAATAAACATATGTTTCTCTTTCTTGGCTTACATGTTTCATAAAAGTCCTTTGGTTGATGGTTATTTACCTCATCCCAGTTTTGGGCCTGATGCTTTAACCCAGGGTGGGGAACAATGACCCTTTTAAAACTAGTGGACTTTAACTCCCAGAATTCCTGAGCCAGCCATGCTCAGTCATAAAGAGGCCATCGTTCTCTACCTCTGCTTTAACCACTACCCCAAACTGCCTCTTTAGCTATCAATAAGGGTAAAATAAATATAACGATCTATAGGTCTGATAATTTTGCAACCCAAAGTACTCAATATTAGTTATACATGCATATTCTATTAGATAATTCCTCCTTGTATTGATACAACTGTAAAAACCGTATTATTCAGACATTACGCATGGCTGCTTCAGAAACACAATTGCATTTTCCATGTCAAAAAACAAGCCGTGGATGCTATCCTGAAAATTAAAAATCTAATCTGGCTTTCTTGCAGCTATGAATATTCAGAATAATGAATATTGTTCCCTTGTTGAAAGCTGACGAACAGGACAGATTCCCTCCACCTCCCGTCTTTTTTGATGATAGAAAAACTCATTAGAAATGTGATGTTATTAGCAGTTTCCCTTGAATTGCAAATTTCTATCATACTATAACTAGTATTATGATAATGATGAAATTAAATTAAATTAGCATATCACATACTATACAGGAAAAGTGTTAATACATTATAGTAATACAAGACAACAGATAATTGCCAGCTTAATAAGAATTTGTCCTCTGAAAAGATCATTTGGCTTACATCTTCTTCCTTCAGGCTTGGAAAACTGTAGCTCATACTGGTTTATTTTGTAAAGCCAATCACAGGTTAAGTAAAAGACCATCTATCATAATACTATGGATTTGGATGGTATATTTTTATTTATTTACTTATTTATTTATATCTTGCCTTTATTATTTTTTATAAATAACTCAAGGTGGTGAACATACCTAATATTCTGTCCTTCTCCTATTTTTTCCTACAACAACCCTATAAGTTGAGTTGGGCCAAGAGAGAGTGATTGGTCCAAAGTCACCCAGCCAGATTTCATATCTAAGGTGGGACTAGAACTCACAGTCTCCTGCTGATTGGTCCAAAGTCACCCAATCAGCTTTAATGTGTAAGGTAGGACTAGAACTAATGTTCTCCTGTTTTCCCAAGATACCCAGCCAGTTTTCGTGCCTAAAGTGGCATCATAACTCATCTTCTCCTGGTGTTTGACCCAAAGTTACCTAGCTAGCTTTTTTGTCTAAGGCAGGACTGGAACTCATAGCCTCCTGGATATTAGATCAATACCTTATCCAACCAAGTTTGATCTACTGACTAGGTTTTGTCTGATAGCTGAGGATTTGTCACAGATAAATAATTGCATATCAGCTTTCTGATAACAGCTTTCATTCCCGCCTTGATTTCTGATCTCTCTTTCTCTTTGTTCTTGCAGTTCCTCCGTGGTTTATCACTCACCCTTCAAATCTCTATGCCTATGAAAGTATGGACATCGAGTTTGAATGTGCTGTCTCCGGAAAACCAGCCCCTACAGTACAATGGATCAAGAATGGAGAAGTTGTCATTCCTAGTGATTATTTTCAGATAGTGGTAATTATCAGTGCTTGTTAATACACCTTGTGAAACCAGTTCAACAGCTTCAACCTCAATTGTAAAATGATTCTGGAAAAAATTGTTGTTGTTTTTTAATGGTAATATAGCAAGGTGGGCTTTCAAAGTTAGCACTTAGCTAATAATGTAATAAAGTACATCGATTAAATGATTGCTTTGAAAGTAAGGATGGAGAGGAAAAAGGTGAAAGCCATTTCCCCCATGACCTTCTGTAATTTCCCCCCCACTCTTGCTCTTTTCTAATAGGGTTTTTTTCCCCCAATATGGGTGATTTTAATTAGTCGTCATTTATTGGGAGTGATGATATCATAACACTATGCAATAGTTTAGCTAGATTTGTAGACCAAATCAGATCTATAAGAAGGTATACTTTCCAATGCAGGTTAAGTGAGTGATCTTGACCCAGTCAAGAACATTTGTAGTATTCCTTGCAAAAATACCCTTCCAATTATACTCTTCCAATTCTGACATATGTTTAAAGTAATAAAGCACCCATATCTTATTTGTACAAAGTCCTATTCAAAATGTGCTTTATTCAGTGACTTCTCCTCAACCATGGCCTGCTACACTCAGTATCATTGACTTAAACTTGAACTCACCAGACAGTTTACAGAGCGATAACCCTTATATCAGTGTTTTTCAGCCTCAGCAATCTTAAGATGTTCAACATCCAGAAATCCAGAAAGGATTGTGGGGAATGGAAGATATAAATATAATAAATGGATATAAATTCTTCCATTCCCCACTATCCTGACAGAGCTGAAGAAGCTTCTTGGATGAGACTTCAAAAGAAAAAACAAAGTTCAGTTGCCTCCTGAAAAAGCACCTTTGGGACAACATATCTTAAACTTGTTGAGGTATGGATGGAAACTATTTAAGGAGAAAACCCCTAGAACTAAGAAATTTCCTAACAATAAGACCAATTAACCACTGGAACCACTGAGCTTATCTCCAGAAATTGTGGGTGTGCCATCATTAGAGGTTTTTAAGAAGAGATTGGACAACCACATTTTTGAAATGGTATGGAGTCTTCTCCTTGTGCAGGGGATTTCACTAGGAACCTCCAAGGTCCCTTCCAACTCTGTTATTCTGAGAAACCCTGCCATATATAAAGGAAGCACAGACCATCATGCCAAGCAGGCTCATTCTGATTTTGCTTCCTTCTTTAGTTAATATGTTTTAAAAAAATGAGTGTCATTTGTACATGCACTTTTTAACAAACCAAAAGGAACTTCTTCCCAATAAAAACTATACATTTGAAGAAAATTTCCTGTCAGGAGAAAAAAGAAAAATTGAATTCCCCATTTTCAGTCTCCCACAGGCCCAATAATTTCAAAATGGTGTAGTAGTATTTTTCATGTTTAAATCTGAAACAAGGGCAGAAGGGACTCCTTGAGTCCAGGAGGTTTCAGAAAACCTCCAGAAAACAGAGAAAAATTGTCAAAGAAGTTATGCAGCACTACAGTATAAATTTGTAGCCTGGCCTAACAGGGAATACTGTAAGAGCATGATCACTATAGAAAGATCTGAGAAAAAAATGTTGGGTCTCGATGCATATTCAGAGAAAAATGGGCTTGAGATCAAACTGTGATGAGTATGTGCAGTTCAGAGTTAAACTGTTGGGTCCTTGGTGCTCTCTGAGCCTGGTTGTTTTCTGGCTAGACTGATGATGTTACTTAGTTGGGTAATGAAACATGTTCAAAAAAACAATCAAGCTGAGAGATCACCAAGAACCCCACAGATCAAATTATTTGATGTGTGGGGTCCTTGATGGTCTCTGAGAATGGCTGTTTTTTTGCAGATATTTCATTGCCCAATTAGGTAATATCATCAGTGACTGCAACTGTGCCGCTGAGGAAAAGGCCCATCATTATATGAAAATTGAGACCTTATCAAACAACATATACACACATATCTCAGAAAGGAAGCACATTGAAACAGAACTTCTGTAATATTTTTAACCGAACTGCTAAATTTAAAGTTAATATTCTGTATTGTACATGGATACCCGTGTGACGACTCTGCTCTCACAAATGTGGCATGTTATTTTTTATTTCAGAAGAAGTTTACTGACCACACAGTACTTTTCCCCATTTTTAACAACTTGGTTGTAAGAGATGTAACACATCTCATACATAAGGCCATTAGTCTGCTGATACAAGACCCTTCTGTCAATAAATGGACAATGATGATCTAAATCAAACACCTTTTATTTATAAATGGCTTGGAATCATTTCTCCTTATTTTCAGAAAAGATCTGTTCAAGTCCATGCAACCTTACCTATTACTGTTTATAAGAAAGACAATCAGATAATGCAAGTTTGCTTGCCTGGGATTTTATTTTGCAGTTCTAAGCAGAACTGCTTCTACTTTTTTTGTGTGTTCTCACTCAGAAATCTAAGTTTTACAGCAGAGGGTGCCAGTTTAGAATTTTGTAGCTGTAGAACAGACTGACCTTCAAATTATTTTTCTTACTCGGAAGAAATATTTAAAAAACAAGAAGAAAACAATGAACCTACTGACAATGCAAATACACTTCATATGCAAGATAGTGGAAATGTTTTTTAATATCAATTTTAAGTGCTAGATAAGAAATGTGAGCTACTTTCTGCTCTGTAGCATTATCATTCTTTTAACAGCATAGTCTTGACTTTATAGCAGCGTAAACAAATAAGAGTAGCACATTTGTTTAAAAAATATACATTTTATTAAAGTTCTAGGATAGCGATGAGGGGAGATACATATGAATAGATACCCTGTTTTCACCAAAATAAGAAATCCCCTGATAATAAGCCCAATCAGGCTTTTGAGCACATGGCAATAAGGCCAAGCGCTTATTTCAGGGTTCAAAAAAATATAAGACAGGGTCTTATTTTCGGGGAAACACGGTATCTATATATTTGTCTCATTCAATGTTTTCTCAATGAAATTAACATTTAGGCTTTGTAATAACTATTTTCTTCTATAATTAGGAATCTCACATGCTGAAAATGTTAAGACGCAATGTATTAGTAATGTTTAAATTTATTTATTTTTATTTATTTGTTATTGTCTTCTTCTAGCTTCTCTTCTTTTTTACAAACATCCTGGGCTAAGCTATAGTTTAGAAATACCTGTTATGATAAAGCATAAAATTGAGAATAAAATAGCACTATAAAACAACACCTGCTATTTTTTTTTAAAAAAAAGGCAAATGCAGAAAACAAAAGATATAAATTTCAACATTGTCATCTTTACCATTTTTCTCAGGTGCTCAGCAGGATTCGGTATGAATCATCTTTATCTCCCTGAGGAGGAAATTTGAGAGCCTTGCTTAAATCAACATTATTTCAGAAAATAAGGATATGTGACAGCTCACTTTTTCATATAATTTTATTAAAGCTTACAATTAAAAAGTAAAAATTAATACAAACTACAATTTTTTTAAAAAATAGAGAGTGTAGAAAAGGAAAAACAGCGAAAAATACAAATGACTTCATCCTGATAAGTACAAACAACGTTAGTCACTGATCTCTTAAAATACAACAGATGCACGCTGCTCATCATAACTCATCTCTCAATTTTAAACAAAATTTTGAAGCTCGTTATTCATTTCTAGTCATGTGACAACTACCTCAGTATATTGGAAAGTCCACTTAGGGGGAAATGAATTGTCCATCCCATTTCTGTACTTTCTGGGAAATTCAAGTACAATATATGGTTGAAGAAATTAGGTTTGTCTAGCACAGTGATGGCGAACCTTTTTGGTACTGAGTGCCGAAAAGGTCACACGGAAACATTGCGCGCACATCCACACACTCGCTGGGGCTGCACTCAGGAAAAGCCGAACTTCTGGGTTCTAGTGCACATGCGCGCCTGACAATCAGCTGGCTGGCACACATGTGCAGGGCGGTTTTTGGCACTGCTGCGTGCGTGAAGGGATCGTGTTCCAGAAAAGCCAATCTTCTGGGTTCTGGCACGCATGCGCACCTAACAACCAGCTGGCCGGTGTGCATGCACACAGCGGTTTATGGCACTGCCATGCGTGCAAAAGACAGTTAATCTTCATGTGCTCATGCGTGCCAGAAACCCGGAAGACAAACAGGCAAGACTGCGCATGCCAGGCGACATGGCTTCACCTGCCACTTTGGGCATTCATGCCATAGGTTCATCATCACGGGTCTAACATATCAAAGAGAAGAATTGAGGGAACATGATAACTATCTTCCAATACTTGAGGAGAAGTCACAGAGTAGAGGGGATTGACTTATTCTCCAAAGCACTAGAAGGCAGGACAAGAAGCAATGGGTGGAAGTTCAACAGAGGGAAATTCAACCTGGAACTAAGGATAAATTTTCTGACAGAACAATTAATCAATGGATTAGCCTGTCTCTTGGAGTGATTGGTGTTCCATCACTGGAGGTTTTCAAAAAATAGACTGGATAACCATTTGTCTGGGATGGTAGAGAGTCTCCTGCCTTGAGCTATCACTATTTTCAACCTTCCCAGCCACTTTCTGACAAGCAAACTCAATGGGGAAAGCTGGATTCATTTAACAACTAAGTCACATGACAGTGAGATGTGTGGCATATGAATTTATTTATTTATTTATTTATATTTATTTATTTTATTAGTCATATTTCTATGCCGCCCACTCTCCGAGGACTCTGGGCAGCTTACACCAAAGACAGTATACTAAATAGCATATTGCCCCCTAACAATCTGGGTCCTCATTTTACCCACCTCAGAAGGATGGAAGGCTGAGTCAACCTTGAGCCGGTGAGATTTGATCCGCTGATCTGCTGAACTAGCAGTCAGCTGAAGTAGCTGCAGTACTGCACTCTAACCACTGTGCCACCTCAGCTCATCCTTTGATAAATAAACAGAAATAAATAAACAAACAAACAAATAAATGACTACCGGATTAATTTAATAACTGCCGTGATTCACACAAAAAGTTTGTAAAATCAGATGTGATTCACTTAATCACCTTGCTTAGCAACAAAAATTCTACTCCCAATTGTGGTTCTAAGTCGACGACTATCTATACAGGTAGTCCTTGACTTACAAAAGCTCATTTAGTGATCATTCGAAGTTACAATGACACTAAAAAAAGTGACTTATGACCGTTTTTCACATGACTGCTGCAGCATCCTCGTGGTTATGTGATCAAAATTCAGATTGTCAACGGACTCATATTTGTGATGGTTGCAGTGTCCTGGGGTCATGTGATCCGTTTTTGTGACCTTCTGACAAAGTCAATGGGGAAGCCAGATTCACTTAACAACTGTGTTATTAACTGAACAACTGCAGTGACCGCTCTTAACAATTGTGGCAAGAAAGGTAAAGAAAATGGGGCAAAACTCATTGAACAAATTACTCAGTTAGCAACATATATTTTGGGCTCAATTGTGGTCAGAAGTCGAGGACTACCTGTACTCAAAACAAGTTGTTCCCAATGTGATCCCTTCCTTGAATTCACAGCTCCAAGATAACCCCTTTGGCTTGTGTCTCTCTCTTTAGGGAGGCAGCAATCTGCGGATTCTGGGCTTAGTAAAATCAGATGAAGGCTTCTACCAGTGTGTAGCTGAAAACGAAGCTGGGAATGCACAAACCAGTGCACAGCTAATCATCCCCGAACCTGGTAAGCTGCAAAAGAATGTTCAGAATTTCCCGTTTCAATTTGTATGATTAACAGAGCTTTGAAATATGCAACTTTCTCCTGTGTATGGCAGCATCCTTACTCATATGCTGGTTGGTTGCAATGACAGTGGTGGGTAATCACTCACGACATGCCTCAGCAGTTTCTACTTCAGGAAGAAGCCATTAGAATTGCCCTTAGAGGGAAGTGAGAAACCTCTGAGTTCATCAGAGCTATGGAGTATGTTAGATGGGATGCATAAAGTATCTCCCTTGGGCAGAAATCTCATCTGGGTGGATAGAAACACATCCATGTCTAAGTGGTGCTTTTACTTCTGCTGATTCCTGGGATGAACTTTTCAGGAGCTTTATGTCAGCCTCGAACAACCAGACCCATACGCGGAGAGTTCAAGCTAACTTATTTTTTATTATAAAGGAGACCCTGCGGATTTTAGTCTGCTAGTTGTTGCTGACTATAGGGGACTATTCTCATCTCCATTTCAAGGCCATCGAGCCTTGAATGTCTTTAGACATTTCCATGGTCATGTGGCCAACATGATGTCATGGAGTGTTGTTACCTTCCCATTGAAGTGGTACCTATTTATCTGCTTGCATTTGCATGCTTTTGAACTGCTGGGTTGGCAGAAGCTGAGGCAAGTCACGGGAGCTCGCCCCATTACGTGGAGCTCAGGTCTCGAACCTGGACTGCTGTCTTTCCAGCCGACAAGCCCAGAGTCTTAACTACTGAGCCAATGGGCTGCCCCAACTACTTTATTATGTTCTGCCAAAAATACAGAATTCATCCAAGGACTGGCAGCCTTCTCTTGAGAACCAACAGATAGAAGGCTCAAAATGTTGTTCCTAACCCTTTGGCGATTGTGCAGTGACTCCATGCTCATTCTGCACTTGATTCCTTCTCCTTACCAGGTTGGGTGCTTCCTAACTGTTAAATAGTTTGTTCAGGCATGAATTAGGCCGAGGTTGCGTTTAAACAGAACACTTTATTAAACAGCAACAGTCATTGAGAAAACACGAACAAGGCTGAGGAGAACTGACAGCCTATTTATACTCCTTAGCTTGTCAAACGATAACCAATCAGCAACCACAGATACTCCCGCTTTAGGGAGGGCACGCCTCTTGGCCAATCACGGGGTGGCGTCCCCAGTAGCCGGGGCCGCCAAACACAACACTAACACTTTATGAGAAGGGGAAAAAAAAACAGGGAAAAATTTTCTCTCCTTTTTAGTAGCCAGTGCATTTTGACAAATAAAAGTGAAAAAACAAAAAGGTGCATCCAATCCAATCTATATCCAATCCATGTCAGTGTGACATTCCTCCAGATTTAATCTATCAAACAAATGCACTCTGATCTTTTTTAAGCGAAAAGGGGGGGAAATTGCCCTACATAAAGTATTTTAGTTTGTATACATTTTCCCCAATGTACACTTGCATGCAATTTATCCTTATATATTCATTTTATGTAATTATCCTTAATACATAATATTGTTTACATGAACATTCCCAATGCACACTTTTCTTCCCCTGCATGCTGCCAAATGTACTTTTTTTGCCTGCAGACACATTTTAAATATGCAGCGTTGGAGTTTAAAAAGATTTCAAGACAACTGATGTAGTATAAAGTACATGCCAGTTCGTGCCATAGCAGTTTCTCTCTCCCCCCCCCCCTTTTTTTTTTTGACGGATTGCAGAATTGTTCTTGGAAAGACACAGAATAGTTGTTGTTTTTTTTTTTTTTTTTACATCCCTGATGGAAGATAATGTCATTCATGGGCCTGCCTATCCCTGTTGCAAACTGTTTATTTCCATATGGGCAGCTATAATTAAAATACTTTGCATTGGAACAAAAACATCATTCAAGGATGCTCAAACAGAATGTGTTATATCTGGTTATTTTAAGATGCTTTACATTGGACCATTGTTTCAGTATTGCTTTGGAAGGAGGAACAGGTGAACAATAAGAAAAGAAATAATATGAATGCAGCATATCCCTTGCACTGTTCTTCAGTAACAACAATTATTGCATCTCAGAGTCTTGTAGTCAGTCAAAAAGAGAACAACAGTGAATAGGGAGGAGATAAAAAAAAAAAAGCAGAAACCCACTTATTAAAATAGAAATAATAATAAAAAATATAATAGAGCTAGTCTTCAACTTAGAATCATTCGTTTAGCAACTGCTTGTTATAATTTGTTTGCTAATTTCCACACCTGTCCTAGAAAGAAACAGGTAATCCAATAGAAGAGAATACTGTACATATAGCTGAGGGTTGAACTATGGAGTCCTCAATGCTTTCTCAGCTTGGTTGTTTGTTTGCAGACATTTCATTGCCCAACTAGGTAATGTCATCAGTGCTACAATGGGATGTGGGGCTTCCTCCTTGTTGATATACAGTAGTTTGCCCTGCCAGATTGGTAGAGATTTGATTAGGGGTAATTCAGGGGTGAAATGCTCTCGGTTCGGACCGGATCGCCCGATCCGGTAGCGATTGTGGCAAGTGGTTCGGAGAACCGGTAGCGATGGCGGCACGAGGCTCTGCCCATCTGCCCGGGTGTTGTTACTTCCTGCTTTTAAAAGGTGAAAAAAAAGGCTCTGACAATCACGCACCACAGCTGTGATCATCAGAGCCTTTTTTTAAACTTTTAAAAGCATTTTTAAAAGCGACAGGGGGCTCCCATGTGACACCTCTCCTGCGTGAGCTGCACTGGCTTCCTGTGGTCTTCCAGGTGCACTTCAAGGTGTTGGTGACAACCTTTAAAGCGCTCCATGGCTTAGGGCTGGGGTATCTACGAGACCGCCTTCTGCCGCCAATAGCTTCCCACCAGCCAGTTCACTCGCACAGAGAGGGCCGCCTCAGGGTGCCATTGGCCAGACAATGTTGGCTGGCGACCCCCAGGGGGAGAGCCTTCTCTGTGGTGGCACCTGCTCTCTGGAACAACCTACTCCCAGAGATACGCACGATACCAGACCTCTGGATACTTTGTTAAGTGTACACTTAACAAATGTATGTGATTTGTGGATCAAAAAGCAGATTGAATATTCTTGTTGGAGACTCCTTTTCAAATGTTCTTCTGAACCTGTGAGAATTCCAGCGTAGGACATGATAGGGACATGTGTGTTTCTCTTTTCATGTCCATGTAGTCAGTCAATGTGCTTCCTTCACTTACCTTGAATTTAGCTCCTTAATCGGTATCTGTAGCCATGGACACTATTGCTGTCATTTAACATGAACAAAATACATGGCAAAACCAGAGAGCAGTAGCCTCTGGAGGGGTGGTACATAGGTAACATGAACCAATGTCAGCATCATACACTGGTGTCCTGTTGCAAATCTTTCTGACATGTATTATGACATTCAACACAAGCTGTGCTGTTGCCAAATAGTGTGGAGAGAGGCTAGATGTAGAGAGTTCTCTCGTGTATTAATAAAAATCAATGAAGGATGCCTAAATGTGATACTGAATTTATCGGTGCTGATCACATTTATGCTCCCTCCTCTCATTCCACTGGGAGAGCATTCCGTACATAGTGCTTTGTTTCCCATCCCATTCCTTGGTGCTTCCAGGTTGAAAGGATTAGATGGTGACATCGCTGTTGCCCAGGGGACACCTGGTGTCCTTTCATGTCCCCATGAAGTTGCCCACCAAAGTGGTACCCGTCTATTTACTCACGGTTGCTCATTTTCGCACTGCTGGGCTGGCAGGAGCTGAAGCGAGTGATGGGAGCTCGCCCAGCTATGCAGCAGCAACTGGGTCTCAAACGCAAGCCTGATGATTGTCAGCTCAGCATGAGCCCCACTTTGTTTTATTCGCAACATGATTTTGAATTCATATGTTCACTACTGGCATTCAGCTTACATTTACCGTATTTTTCGCACTATAAGACACACTCCCCCCCCCCAAAAAAAAAGTGTGTGCATGTGTGCTCACATTTGCAAACCGGTAAGGAAAGTAAATAAATAGGAGCTCTGGTGGCTCAGCAGACTACTTCATCTGCTGCCTGCAATTACTGCAAGTTCAAATCTCACCAGGCTCAAGGTTGACTCAGCCTTCCATCCTTTCTAAGGTAGGTAAAATAAGGACCCAGATTATGGGGGCAATAAGCTGACTTTGTATAAATATACAAAAGTATGAAGGCTATTGCTTAACGCATTGTAAGCTGCCCTGAGTCTCCAGAGAAGGGCGGCATATAAATCAAATAAAAAAAAAAATCAACCCTGGTTGTAAGGATATTTTATTCACCTACTGTATTTATTTGTTAACGACAAACCTGAATTTCCACGTTCAACTCATGGTATTTCACACTGATACCAGCCTTCCTCCTCTCCCTGCTATAATGCAATTTAATTCACCTCTGACAGCTGTAAAACACTTATATAATTCATTACCATCTCCGTCTAAGAGTTTAAATTTCTGTTATTTGAATTTAGGTGGGTTTCTTTTTTTTTTTTAATGGTTTGGCATTAGACTAAAATGAAAGCAAGCAGAAAGGAAGGCAAGTCCTAAAAAGGTGACGGAGACCCCATTGTAAATGGTCTCCATCCCATTCCCGGCCCCTATCAAGTGATGGATTGCTTTCCCTTGGCAATTTAATCAGATCTCCATACAATGCCATTCAGAATTCCTCCGAGATTTTGAAAACGGCAGCCTGCACAGATGCCAGGAGAGGCAGGGAGAAATACAAATGAATCACTGGGTTTGACCACAGGGGGAAGAACATTGTCCTCCCTGTTTAAAATTTTGTCAATAAATGGGCACCATCCCTTGCTCACACAGCGCAAAGGCCGGCTCCACAGCTGTCCTGTTCCTGCTTGTCCATGGGCCTATGGACAAAGAGTTTCCCCTGGCAACTAGGACAATTCGCTTTGTGCTGAGACCCAGACAATAACCTATTAAAGTAACCCATTTGCTCTTGGTGGATATTTATAAAAGCCTAATGAGTTTTCGATATAGTATTGTGAGAGGTGTCCAGCTCATCCTTCTTGCAAT